AAATATATATTAAATTTTGATGCCTACAAATGCTTCAATCATGGATGCTTTTAAAGGTTTTTGCTAAATTCTAAAAATTTAATGACTTGCTAACTCAAATGTTTCTAAGGAGATTAGGAAGAGCATTAGAGAGGCATCGATGCATAGAGCTATAATAGTTTTTGAAAGGTTTCTAACTTCGTAGATGCCTTCATTGAAGATGTTCAAAATCAAACTATTGGAAGAAGAAAGAAGGGATCAAGACTTGATCCATCCATCAACTGAGGTGACCATTAATGCAATATCTTGTTCTAAGGAGGTTGTTGTTGATAAGCTTTTTGATGAAGGAAAGATTGTTGTATTGAGAATAGATGTTGTTATCATATTGATTAGAACTCTAATAGTGGTTGTTGAAGATATTCTAGGCGATTCTTTAGATTATATGAGGATTGATTCATCTTCAAAGGCAAATAAAAAATTGTTGAATTCAATAAATTTGGGTCATCATTTATAAGTAAAATTAATATGCACTTTGCAGATATATAATTTATTATTCCTCAGTGAAATGGGTTAGTCTCCTATTTGATCACATGGCTCCTAAAGCTAATGTGCAAGAAACCCTAAAATAAAGAGTGCTTGAGCATTAGATGAGGATGAACTTCTCAAAATAAGTCCAATTGGAGAGAGAAAAACCTAAGGTGCTTAGAAGCTAGTTCTACCGAAAGTTTATATCAAATAAACTAGCAAAGTTAGATATATGAGTTTGAGATTTTTATAAGAATGACGTAAAATCAAGTAGAGCAAAAATTATTAAATTATTAACATTAAAAATAACTTCATTGGATTTTAAAGAGAATAAAACATTAAGATAACTTATAGAAGTGAAATTAAATTAGTTTTAAAAAGAAAACGATTATTTTAGTCATACTTGAAAATTTTTTTGTGGGATCTCTTTAAGTGCTAAATAGTACTACAACTTTTTTCTCTCTCTTATTGGCTTTTCTACATTATTGTAAATTTGCACTTTATTGATAAATGTGATATCCTTAAATATAACTATATTTTCTTTTGTGTATGAGAGTTTAATAGCAAGGTACTAAATAGATGATATGCCTTAGAAAGAGTAGATGAGTGCTCATTTAAAGATTCCATTATATTTAGCTAGTTTCTTAAAAATTGATAAGTTAGTATGTTATAACTCATGTCATTCATTATTTTCACAAAGTACTTTTATATTTAAAATTCCTTTCGAATAACACTTTTCCTTAATGAATTTAACTTAGAGCACCCAACATAATTCAAAATTTATTTTTAATTCATTCTCATTTTTTTTTCTTTAGCTCGTGCACACTACAAAAAAAACATAAGAAATTGGTGGAAAATCGGCGGACGGAGGGCAATGTCCGCCAATTTTTTTATTAACCGACTTATTGGTTGAATGTTGATTTAAGTATTTTCGATTGAAGTACCCATGGACCATCTACCTGCTCTGCACAACTAAAAATTCTGCCGGAAATATGCCATCAACTATAATTTCAGTGGTATTATTAAGTTATAGAATTATGAACGAGCAATATGCTGATGTTTTCAAAGGAAGACAACCTGTAAAATTATATATTTCCTGATGAGTAATCCACTGCTTATTTAGCCATAAATTTTTTGGCCAATACTCAGTCATAAGTACCTCAGAAAATTGTTAACGGTGGAGAGTGTTCTATCAGAAATGCATTTCCGACAACAGATATTCTGACTAACCATACTTTGCCATAATTACACCAAATAACAAAATTACCGATGAAAAATCTATTGATCGTCATCTGATTGGTCTACCGGTAATACCTGAATTTTTTGTAGTGATAATACATTTTAGATGAAATTCCTCTTATTCACAATTTTTATCAACGCCTCTTTTAAATTAATAAGATTTATGATCATTATGCCATCATCGTAAATATTTTGATATGCAGGACGATCATGATCTACGCATGTGAGTTGTAGAGTGGAAGGACTATTGAATGATTGAATCTCATCTTTTGTGAGTTGATTCAAACTTTGCTATCAAGATGCCTCAAAATTGATTTCATTGGTAATAGTGTGTATAACACCAATTATAAAGATCAAGGCCTTCTAGGTGGTAGGACCTTGTCAGATCCTTTTACTACTTTTTTGATTGAATAATGAGAATGGAATCCCATAGATAGCCTTCTTTTAAAAGCTCCATAATAAAATTTTTGAGAACTTAATAATTTTCTTAAGCAAGATAAGTTCAATGCAAATTTGAATTATTAAAATTTATTCTTTTCTTTTATTTGGATTCTCCTTTTTAATGAATGGATGCTAGTTGTACTTTAACAATATAAAAAATTACTAATTGGCAAGTGAGATAACTTATTCTCCATGTGTGAAAAGTCAAATGTCGTCGCCTTATCTTTCTACCATATCAAAGTGAAAGTTATTTTGTTTAGTTAGTTGGAGAGTGTTTTTTTTTGTTCTTCTTAAAGCACTTAGAGTTGGCAAATTATCTATTTATATGTCATCATATGATTCTCTTATTTGAATAAATCTCTCTCATGAATCATATCAATGTTTCAAAAAGGAGAGAAATCGAAAAGAAAAATATACGAAAATAAAATGCAAACAAATAAAAAGAAATAATCATAAGACTTATATATGGGCAATCTTCATGTAATGAGTCGAGAATATACATCTGAATAGGATCAGCTCGAAGTACCACGAAAAACAATATCCACGAAACGAATCTCTACATAAGCCACTCACAACCAGAAAACCAAAATGAATATTGTTGTTCTGGGGTCAAGAGTCTCTCAGAAGAACGTATCTCACAGGTTATTACATTTCAGAGAAGACTCAAGAATACTCTCGATAAAAGAAGTTTTTCTTATATTATTATGAACCTGAAGAACTTCTCATCAAAAGAAGGTTATTATTTATTTGAACGCCTCGATACTTCAACGCTCTCGCTATGCCACATGACAGAGAGTGAGTCTCGCACATCCCAAATGGGTAGGGGCTCGTCAGTATCAGAACCTATCAAATAACTAAAATCATCTTAATGGGGATATCTCTATACGTCAGAGCTCACTAGGTCATCAGGGTAGAAAGTGAATCATTGTATTTTCAGACAGGTGACACTCATCGGTAATCGAGTCATCAATACGATATAAACAAAGTCAAAACGAGCGATAGGGCTCAATAAGATGAAGGATAGAGGTAGTTGGGTTGATGTGATACGTCTAAAATTATAGCTCCACATGTAGTCGTATGATAGAGTTTTGTTTCTTTGAATTTAGGGCTATCGAAGTTCTCGTGGAGGACACAATTCACAGATTGCTAAGTAAGGATCTCTAGACTTGTTGGGTTGATTACCTTCACGGCCATGTAGACCTAAGATCATAGCGGCTTAACAAGATGAAGGGTATAAATGATGAGTACTATTTCGAGCCAAAGCGAGTTGAACACGAACAAACAAATCTTTGTTCCTGTTTAGCTCATTAACTTAGTGAACGAGCTAAACAAGAGCTACTTAATTAGCCGAACACGAGTTATTCATGAACAACGAGCTGTTTTGACAGGCCTAGAAGTAAGCCATAAGGCCTCCTTTGGCCTGAGTAGGAATAGAGAGCTTTTTTACACCTAGAGCTAAAGACTAATTGCTGTATTACCAACATACAACATCATTTTTTGACTTCTAAAGAATGTAAACAACATGAACAAGTCAAATTATTTCGATAGGACAATATTTACTTCTTTGCCATTTTAAAAAATATGTTTCACGCGAGTACATAGTAACACAATTCAAAGCGCCCGCCAAATCCCACGGAAGCGTGTAAACGTCCATTCGAAGGCTCGAACTCTCGACCTTCGTCGCATTTCTAGAACCCTACCACACGTGTGAGCCCAAATGGGAATCAGTCGTCATTCGTCAAAGCCGTCAATGCAGCGGGCATCATCTTCCCCCCTTCGCGTTTCACGCTTCCTCCCCCATCCCCTTATTAAACCCACACGGCTACACCCATGGCGACATCTTGGTAGATTGGTATAGATAGCGGGAAATAGACCAGAGATGCGCAGAGAGAAAGAAACGGAAAGCCTAGAGGAAAGCCTAGAGCCCCCCCCCGCCTCCGCTACTCTCCGGCAACTGCCACAAGAAATCGACCGGAGTTTCGCTGCTTCCCCTTCGCAGATCTCACCCGAGCCATCGTTCCGCGCCGTCTCAGATCCGATCGAGGAGAATGACGGCGAAGAGGATGATTTTGAGTTCGCGTTTATGGTATTAGATCCCGACACGAGTTCATCACTCACCGCAGATGAGATCTTCTCTAATGGCCAGATCCGCCCCGTCTACCCTATCTTTAATCGCAATCTCTTTCTCGAAGGAGAGGGTGACTTGGGGCAGCCCCTGCGTCGGCTAATGTTGGAAGAGAGGGAGAGCCCAGTCCCGCCC